TTTATAACTTTGAATGTTGTTTCATATTGTTCTGAGCAATTTCTATTATATTGTTGTATTTTTGTTCATCATTTGTAACTGATTGCATTTTTGGCATATCTGATATATATATTTTTTTTATAGTAATATTTCACTTTAATAATTTGCAATTTGATAGTTTGACAGTAGGAAATATTCTTATGCAAAATATTCCTTTAAAAGGAATTGGCCCAGAATTTGTCATTGATGTCTCCAGGCTGTATAGAGAATGTATGATTCCATGCTGTATGCATACAAATCCAGTTATTTTGTGATATGAAATTGGAAGTTTGAGAAGTATGAATGGTAATACATGTAGTAATCAATGGCTCAGGATCTTGTACCACATTAGTAATGAATAAGATACTTAGTACTTGATAAACCATGGGTTATATTGAGGAGTATTGCTTACTCAATTATGCTAACATATAAGCTCCATTAATACATTCATAACATTGTAGAACAAAGTTTCTTTCCTATTCTATCGTGAATTTTGAAACCAAAGACCAGAGACCAAATTTAAGGTTCTTTATACAATACCATAGGATTGTCTCCCTTGTCTCTCAATGAGCAGTTTTGTTTGCTACTAGTCATTTTATACTTTAATTGTATTGTACGACGATAGAAGTCTTTATTTGATTGGTTCGATGTGTTGATTTTCTAATTAATCCGTTCTTCATATTACTCCTTAAAAATTTTGATTGAAAAATTTTGTTTTATGGGCGGATGTTATGTATATGCTATACATAATGTGCACACTAGCTACTCTGGAAGGGGAAGTAACTCTAAAGTATGTGGTGTGTGTTTATTGTAACTCTTCTTTTGAGGAGGCAAATTTGGAAGAGTAAGAAATGATTAAAGAAGGAGCACATGTTAGACACGTTTCCAGTTGGTTATTTTCTATATAAAACCGGAAAACTGTTGACGTGACGTAACACGTGGACGTCCCGCACGAGGTTGATCACCGACGTGGCCAAACTGTTGATGTCGTCTCCACAAATCCCGGATTGTGTTTCGATGGACATGAAAACGTGTAGAGACAACGGCTTGGCCCATACTAGCTTGAAGGATACCAATAATCCGGAGGCGGTCATTTTCATTGAGCCTCGGCAAAGCATTACTCAAATTAAAACGTTATAATGCTGCTTTTACTGTTCACTGGTCTCAATAGTCCGAATTATTTTGACGTTTATCGACTTTTTTCATATCGGTCTGTCGTCGATTAACGTCAGAACTCCGGCCCTCTATAATATGCGGGAAATATGCGACCCGCGCCCGGAGCGCACTTCAAACTGATATTTTAGAAACAAATCGTCACTTTCACACACATGACGCACATGGATCAAAAGATCTATTCTTTATGCACTAGGTGGTATCAATAACACATTTCAAAGATCATTACGAAAAGTATTTTCCAACGTTTTCTATACCAACCCATGTTTTTAATGATAATTAGGCCATGAGCAATGTCACATGACTTGACGAGATCTCGCGTTACCAAAGGTATTTCCAAAAGTTATGATGTAGGCTGGCGAGATTTTAGTCACGTGGCATTAGAAGGCAGGGCTATCAAAAAACTAGAGTAAAACAGAGTAAGTTTGAATAAATACGTTTTTAGTGACTGTATTGGTTGTTTGAGGCATGTTATGTATGTTTATTTTGTGCATAAAGAATAGATATTTCGATCCATGTGCGACATGTGTGTGAAAGTGACGATTTGTTTCTAAAATATCAGTTTGAAGTGCGCTCCGGGCGCGGGTCGCATATTTCCCGCATATTATAGAGGGCCGGAGTTCTGACGTTAATGGACAACAGACCGATATGAAAAAAGTCAATAAAACGTCAGAATAATTCGGACTATGGTCTCAACAGAGTGACCCAATAGTTGAAAAATAAACTTTCATTGTCGAAATGGTTGGCTGACGAGGAAAACGCGCAAACTGGTGAAAGCCTATAGAGAGCAAACTGCACGTGAAAAACTGACACACGGATAGTGTGTATGTGTCATACTCGGTCATGTGTTTGAATTTTCATATATATACAGTTGGAAATACGTGTTTTATAACAATTCTCCGTATGCAAAGTTTCTTTTTTCCGCTAGTATACGAACCTTCATATATATATAATACCCTCATCATCATACATTAGGTACATAAATACATACCTTCCTATATATAATACCCTCATCATCATCCATTAGGTACATAGATACGAACCTTCATATATATGTAATGCCCTCATCAGCATCCATTAGGTACATAAATACATACCTTCATATATATATAATACCCTCATCATCATCCATTAGGTACATAGATACGTACTTTTTATGAATAATACACTCATCATGACATCATATAAAACATCTCGCTCAGTACCCTCACATTCATGATACCCTAATCAGCATAAACACATATCGATAGCAGTACCCTCACATTTGTCAAAACCCCACCAGCACGGAAACATATCGATATCGTTACCCTCAATGTCGTCATACCCTCACAAGCATAGAAACATATCGATATCGGTACCCTCATATTCTTAATACCCTCACCAGCATAGAAACATACAATTAACGGTACCCTCAATGTCGTCACACCCTCAATAGCATAGAAACATATCGATATCAGTACCCTCAATTTCTTAATATCCTCAAGAGCATAGAAACATATCGATATCAGTACCCTCACATTCGTAATACCCTCATTAGCATAGAAACATATCGATATCAGTTACTTCACATTAATTTTACCCTCAATAGCATAAAAACATATCGATATCAGTTCTCTCACTTTCATGATACCCTTATCAGCATAAAAACATATCGATATCAGTTACCTCACATTAATTTTACCCTCAATAGCATAGAAACATATCGATATCAGTACCCTCAATTTCTTAATATCCTAACCAGCATATACATATATCGATTTCAGTTCCCTCACATTCCTAATACCCTAATAAGCATACAAACATATCGATATCAGTTCTCTCACTTTTATGATACCCTTATCAGCATAAAAACATATCGATATCAGTTACCTCACATTAATTTTACCCTCAATAGCATAGAAACATATCGATATCAGTACCCTCAATTTCTTAATATCCTACCAGCATATACATATATCGATTTCAGTTCCCTCACATTCCTAATACCCTAATAAGCATACAGACATATCGATAGCAGTACCCTCACATTCGTCATACCGTAATCAGCATAAAAAGATATCGACATCAGTTACCTCACATTAATTATACCTGCAATAGCATAGAAACATATCGATATCAGTACCCTCACATTCGTAATACTCTCACTAGCATAGAAACATATCGAAATCAGTACCCTCACATTCGTAATACCCTCAACAGCATAAAAACATACAAATATCGGTAACCTCAATGTCGGCATACCCTTCAAGCATAGAAACATATTGATATCGGTACCCTCACAATTGTAATTCTCTCATCAGCATAGAAACATATTGATATCGGTACCCTCCCATTTGTAATACCCTCACCTGCATTGAAACATACAAATATCAGTACCCTCAATGCCGCCATACCCTTCAAGCATAGAAACATATCGATATCAGTATCCTCACATTTGTAATACCCTCAAGAGCATAGAAACATATTGATATCGGTACCCTCACATTTGTTATACCCTCAAGAGCATAGAAACATATCGAAATCAGTATCCTCACATTCGTAATACCCTCATCAGCATAGAAGCATATCGAAATCAGTACCCTCAAATTCGTTATACCCTCAACAGCATAGCAACATCGATCGTTATCAGTACCACCACATTCGTCATACCCTCATCAGCATCAACCTAACATTTGTAATACCCTCACCAGCAAAGACAAATATCGTTATCAGTACCACCACATTCGTCATACCCTCATCAGCATCAACCTAACATTTGTAATACCCTCACCAGCAAAGAAAAATATCGATATCAGTACCCTCACATTCGTACTACCCTCACCAGCATAGAAACATATAGATATCAGTATCGTCACATTTGTAAAACCCTCATCAGCATATCGGTACCCCCACATGTGCAATACCCTTTATTGTTTATCCGCATTGATTTGACTTGTATCTAGTCCGAATTATTCTGATGTTTTATCGACTTTTTTTATATCAGTCTGGCGTCGATTGACGTCAGAACCCCGACCCTCTATAACATGCGGGAAATAAGTGACCCGCGCCAGGGTCACTCTTCAAACTTATATTTTAATTGTGTCGCTCAACCAGACTCATGTTGCCTTCGCAAGCTCCGCCGAACAGAGATTCTGGTCAAACCCAGTGCTTTCGTTTTGTGACATCATAACGAGGCTTACCAGAATTCTGGTAAATGTTTTCATTTGTCAAAGGTTGACACACCCTTTTCAACTTTTGAAGTCAGAATTTGACTGGCGCAAAATTTCATTGAATATTTTAATTCATGAAAAAATTACCTGTACATGCATTCCTGAAGTATCCATGATTTCACTTTTAAAGAGAAAAATGTAAGAAAATGCTTCAAAAAGAATGATTTCATGTATTTTCATTGGATATTTTACAATAATTCATAAATCTAACAAGGCTAATGATGCAAATCAAGCGAGATTACCCGAGTGAGAACCTGTAGGTTTTTTAATTGAGTACAGGTAAAATCTCACTTGCTTTGCATGCTTTTTTCCAACCTCAGTCAACCTTGTTGGCTTTGTGCTCAGTTATGATTTATTCAGTGGAAATATATGGCATTATTCTGGAGAATTGACATTTTTGGGTGGTTTTTTTTTCTCGATAATAGTGAATACACGGATACTTAAAAAATGCATGTACAGGTAAGTTTTTTCATTAATTTCCTTATTCTTTGAAATGTTTTAACGCCGTTGACATAACGTCCAGAAACGAAAGTAAAAGCACTGCCCTCTGGTGATTGTATTTCTAAAGTACNGAAGCTCGAGGCGGCAATATGTTCAAAGATGTCGGAAAGAGTGGCTGAGATGGCGGCTGCCGCGATCAACGTCTTGTCACGACCTCCTACTCGAGCAAATACCATATTTGAACGAACATTAGGCATGTTGTCATCGACACGTGCGAGTGAGTAAAACATTGTCATAGTCCGAAACAAATGTACTAGCTGCGATCACGTAAGAAATACTATCAACAGCTGGTCTGATATATTACGGTACATGTAGGCCTACTAGGTAGTGGACATGTTCATAGTAATTGGGTAAATTCTGCCGAATTTTCTGATGCTGTTGAACTTCTCTGGAATATAATATACTTTATAGTTGAGAATAAATTATACGGTCACTGATCTGTGCCATTAATTACTTCCATTTGTTCCATTCCATCAGTATTTTGATTTCTAAGGAAAATTTATGGATGCGGGCCAAAAGCCTGAACAAGTTTGTGCTCCTGATAATTTAATTAACAAACAAGTCTGGATCCTCTACCCTCTGAAACATTGACATATAATATTACATGCCCATCATACACTATACAGTCATGGACAATTATTTTCATTGTTGTTATTATTCTGTAAATTTACCCAACTTTGAAGAATACATAAATCAGGGACTTGGATATATCATACACCGTCCTATTGTCGTCACTGCCCTTTGGCCGTGCCCTCAAACGTTACAGCCATACCGTGATACTCATGAATCTCGTGAGAGGATGACATAATTTCATAAAGTCGCTCGCCGGTGTTCTATTGACTTGAATAAGTTACATACCAAAATGTATGACAAAATGCAGTTCAAGCATGTAAATAGGGAGTTTGTTTTAAAAAAATATCCCTCAAATTACCCATTTTACCTTATCCCGTTCACAAGCTTCATTCATTTTGATTATAATGTGTCTGTGCTTTCACAGGATAATCATACCCATTTTGACTAGTAAGGCCAAAGTAGTCAAAAATCCATTTTGCATAACGATCATTCCTTATACATTTTCAGCACATTTGTCTTAGTTTTGCACTCTTGAAATATACTCAATTTGAGAAGATAAATAATGATCAAAGAAAAAAATACAATTCCAATGAAGAAAGAATTCTTGACTTATTTCTGTAGTAATCTCCCAAGTTTTCTGTACAGTTATATTCCGGAGATATACAACGACGATATACATTGAGTAAAATTAGTTTAACCTATAACAGGAAGTATGAATGACATCATTCATACGGCAACGACTTTGGGACGTCTTTTTTTCCGGAATCGAAGGTGTCTGGAAGGTAAGTTTCAAAAAGTTGGAAATAATTAGAATCGCTGAAATATAAAAAAGAAGTGCATGAAAGGTACATCCAAGATAACATATGAAGTACATGTATTTATTATGGACATCTCCGTGGATTACCGATCTTGTTTATCCTTATGGGCACGACTATATGGGGCAGTCGAGGGTAATATACAATAAACCAATAAAATCTTAGAACTGAATAATAATGACGTCATATTCGGTAAATTAGCACTTAAACAAGATATTTAAGTTTAAACAATATTTTGCTGATTGCTAAACTCCACATCTAAAAAACAAAAACCAAAAAAACCCAGTAGACCCAATATTACTTACTTTAAAAGCGACCCGAAAGATTATTATGAAGAAAGAACAGGTAATTAATGAAAAATATGGATATTAGGTGGGTAGAGTAGCCAGCACAGCTGAAAAGTAAATTCAATCTAACAAGGGACTTTGCATTAAGTACTGTAACTGAGGAAATGATAGTAAAATATTTGAAAAAAATTTCTTGTTCAATGTTTGATTATATTACGATTAATGCATTGATACAGACTCTTTACCTTGACTTTAGATAACCGGAAACGGGGTAGAAACCCCAAGACATGCAGTTGGCATGTGTTTTTGCTGAACAAAGCCTATGAATACCTGCCACCAACAACAGAGCTGGATAGGTTAAATAGAAACCTGCTGGGTAAGTCAATTCTAACAATTTGTGACACTCTGTTAGCATTCTAGTAATAAACAGCTTGGAGTCAAATGGGAAAATATTTATTATTTTCAATTTGGTTTTACAAAAATCTTTCCTGTCTTAGTTGGCTACATGTTCATGATATGTACATGACATTTTTTGTGATGTTTCTGCTAAATCGCCCTTCCTCCATTCATAAACAATCCTTGGTACCTGAAGGATCTTTCTCAAATTCCGTAGGTATGTTCCTGTTGTTTTAAAATGATAAAGAGAAAAAGTGCAGAAAATATCAGTCTTACATAGACCTGATAAAGATAATTCAAATGTGGGTACAAAGATCCCTCTTAGATAACTTGTTTATTATTTTTTGAATTATATGTGATATGTAATTATTAAGTTTTTTCTTTTATTCCAGTTTCACTTTATGTTTTGCAGAGTTTGCCAGCTTGACCAGTGACAACATTTTCCCCTTGTTTTAATACATTTTTTTTTCTTTTAGTTTATTTTGTTTACCTCCTTTTTCATTTTGATAACCATGGTTTATTTGGTTCTGATCATTACAATTCACATCTAGTGATCACTGGGTTCGATTCCCAGGGACCATCTAATTGAAACTGATTGGTAAACAATACAATCAAAAGACAAACATGTATTTAGTTTCATAACAGAAAAGTTTTTGGATATAAGCAATTTCGGAAGTCAATTTTTAAGTTTAATAAAATGAATACAATGAGGATCTGCTGGAGCCTAGAATGTCTCACTGATGTCTTCATATAACTGATAACAGATATTTGAAGTATTTGAAGGTATAAAAAAAAACCAAAAAACCAAGAAGTAAAAGTCAAGGCAGGTTGTTACTGTTATTATCAATACAACTGTATTTTTAGACCACCATCTGAAGATGAATATGGTAGGCTTTTCAAATCGCCCTTCATTCATCGTCTTTTGTCCACGTTATAGCTATTTCTCGAAAAGTACCAGAAGAATCTCTTTCAGATTTTAAATAAAGCTTATCCTTGGTCCATAGTGGTTCATAATTTAGTTTTTAGATGATTAAAACAATAGGCAGCCATTTTTAATTTTGATATTGGAAGTTTGTTATCGCTATTGCCCAGAAAGTTTGTCACAGATCTTCCTCACATGTAAAGGTTATCCTTAGTTGAGCTAAAAGATAGCCATCTTAAATTTTGACAAATAAAATAACTGATCTCTCTTTCTCAGGAAGTACATCATGGATTTTTTTTAAAACAATTACATTCCATATGTGTGTTCATGATCAAATTTCAACAAATGAGGTGGCTAATAGGCAGTCATCTTTGATTTTGACAATTAAAGCTGGTCATTACTATTTCTGTCTTTTAAAAATTATGCAGAGCTATTTGTAGGCTAATCCTTACCTCTAGTTGTTCAAGTTCAATTTTGGGGGCTGATCAGAACAAGAAGATTACTGTATGAAGAGGAGAAAAGTACAGAAAAGATCTGATACACTGATACATACAACCAATTTGATATGGCTATTAGCATCATGCACTGGTGGGCGCCAAAATCCCTGAGATATCTTGAGTTAAAAATGAACTATTATGAAACAATATTGAATCAGGATGGTTTACGGAGTAACTATTACTATTTTGATCATTGTCAAAAATGTATTTAACCTTTGAATTTGAATGAATCACAGGATCACCAATGTCTGAAAGACCTGGCCTTTTGGAAACAATGAAGAAGAAGTCAGAGTTTTCACTCAATATAACTATGGAAGAGTTAGAAGACCAGCTTATAGCAAAATACCCTGGTACATAAAATAATACTTTATATGTGGAAAGGTGGGGAAGGGTATATTAATATATTTTTGTTTCATCTGTCACACTTTTTGTCATCACTCTAGCAGCTGTATTGACTAACAGATTTAATTTTAATGAAACTTTAAAGGTGTGTTCGCATGGACAATTTTGAATACTAGTAGTATCAGCTTGATCAATCAATATCATTGCTACTTAACTGCGTCAATATTTCACTTTAAACAACTTCTTCTGAATAACCAATAGGTCCAGGCTGATGATATTTGGCCAGTAACATGCTGGGATGAAGGGCTACTAAGTTTGTTCAAATCAATGACCTTGACCAACTTTCAAGGTCACAGGGGTCAAATGTCTTAAAATCTTCAAACAACTTCTTTTCAATAACCAAAAGGCTCAGGGTACTGAAATTGGGCCTGTAGCATGCTGGGATGAAGGACTACAAAGTTTGTTCAAATGAATTACCTTGACCCACTTTCAAGGTCACAGGAGTCATTTGTCTTAAAATCTTCAAACAACTTCTTCTCAATAACCAAAAGGTCAAGGGTAGGCTTTATAATCATGATATCAAGTTGTGTTTAACGAGTTGGAGACTGATCTTTCGATTACTTGTTTTCTTCAAACAGTTAGAAAATTTAACATTGACATTGTAGTGAAAGGTGAGATTTTTAGCATTATAGTCATGTTATATGGTTATGTTTCCTCAAAAAAAAAATTGATTCAACTATTTTTGCTGAATTATTGCCCTTTGCTTTTTCAGTACTGGAATCTTGTCCAGAGATCTACAGTTTTCTATCAATTTTATGAAACTTACTAAGCTTTATAATCATGATATCAAGTTGTGTTTAATGAGTTCGAAACTAATCTTTTGATTAAACTGTTAGAAAATTAAACGATTGATAGCATGCCAGCTAGCCACTCTTAAGGTGATGCAAATTTTATTTAAATGCAAGATAGTATATAACGCTATATGGCATTCAACGGCGTATATTGTTCCGCCCTGCGGTACTCTTGTTGTGCTATATTTAATGACTGCAAATATAGCGAAATTGATTCCCGTACAAAAATCACCAACTTTACAGTTGTCAATTTCCTCCAAATGCAGATGTTCCTTTAGCCAGAATAGGATTCCATCTGGCAAGGGTCAATGAAGGGAAAAAAATTGAAGTCATACGGGCAAATACAGTTGATGGAGTGAGACACCTTGTGAAAAATGGAAAGTTATGGCTTATTCCAAAGCGGGAAATTTCCTTGCCTCTGGTAAGTGAACCCAATTAAATTGTTTTAACTTCTTCTCAGTAACCAAAAGGCCTATGGTGATGATATTCGGCCACAAGCATACTTGAATGAAGGGCTACCAAGTTTGTTCAAATAAATGACCTTCATTCATTTTCAAGGTCACAGGGGTTAAATATGTTAAAATTTTTAAACAACTTCTAAATAACTGAGAGGCCTAGGGTGACGATATTTGGCCAGTAACATGCTGGGATGAAGGGCTACCAAGTTTGTTCAAATAAATGAACTTCATTCATTTTCAAGGTCACAGGGGTTAAATATGTTAAAATTTTTAAACAACTTCTAAATAACTGAGAGGCCTAGGGTGACGATATTTGGCCAGTAACATGCTGGGATGAAGGGCTACCAAGTTTGTTCAAATAAATGAACTTCATTCATTTTCAAGGTCACAGGGGTTAAATATGTTAAAATTTTTAAACAACTTCTAAATAACTGAGAGGCCTAGGGTGACGATATTTGGCCAGTAACATGCTGGGATGAAGGGCTACCAAGTTTGTTCAAATAAATGAACTTCATTCATTTTCAAGGTCACAGGGGTTAAATATGTTAAAATTTTTAAACAACTTCTAAATAACTGAGAGGCCTAGGGTGACGATATTTGGCCAGTAACATGCTGGGATGAAGGGCTACCAAGTTTGTTCAAATAAATGAACTTCATATTAATATAGATTCACACGATTAGAATTGTGCAATAAACATTTTAATTCGAATTTGAATTGAATAATATCATGCTTAGATTCATTGTAGTTATTATATTTCAGTCTGAGAATGCGGATGATAGTGTTGCTAATGAAGAGGTGAGATAATCTGTTAAGATTTTACAAAATTGGCGTTTCATCTCTGTATAAAGATCATCTAAACCAGCCATTCCCTCATTTTCAATTATTTTCCATATATAAATTGCGTTAAACAATTTTCTTTTGATTATGGTATGGTGCAGAATAAGTCGTCTGTCAACTTTTAATGTCTTCTAGAAAAATATAAGCAAGTTGGTAATAATTATTTTATAATATAATTGGCCAGTTAAGGTACCTGTGATAGAGTGCTATAAAGTTTTCTCATATAAATGACCTTGATTTTCAAGCTCACTGGGGTCAAATATCTTCAGAGTATCCCAGTGACTCTTGTGCTCATTAAACTGAAAGCAGCACCACTGTAATTTAGTAAGACTTGTATTACACTTGGCCAATGCAAAAGGTTTTGGAAAATAGAAATATGACTTAATAAACACACACACACACACACACACACACACACACATTTATACAATATTATATATTACAATGTATATGTGCTTGTGTTTACAGATTTCACAGTCTAGAGATACAGAATTGTGTGAACTCGACAATGTGACAGAAGGAGCTGATAACAGAGAAGGAGCTGACAGAGCTAGGGCAGGAGAGGTAATCAGTGCATGAAGTAATAGAAATTATCATATTTTGTTTTAAAACTTCAAACATTGAATTGAAATTTCCAATATACTTATAATATGTGCTATTTGGAAAAAAATATTGTTTGTCTAAAAGATTTTTTTTGTCCGAACAACTTTTGCTAAACTTGTGAACTAACTTCAATGAATCTACACAGGAATATTAAGGACCAAATGTTAATACACATGCACTTTGTTTTTTGGAAATATTTGTTGCCATGGTAATCTGTTCACTACCCACAGGTATTTATATGCCCGTCAAGTTGGACAGGAGTATTACGGTATGGCGTCGTCCATCTGTCCGGCATATATAAACTTTTGTTTATTCAGAGATGAACTCCCTAGATTTTTATGCATTATAATCATGATATGTAGTTGTTTCCTTGAACGGCATTTTGATTCGACAATTTTTGCCTAAGATATTGCCCTTTGTTGGTAGGATTTATAATCATGATAAAAGTTGTTTCCCCTGGGAGGCATTTTGATTCGACTGTTTTTGCAAAAGTTATTGCCCTTTGTTTATTTTCAGTACTTAAATCTTGTCCAGAGGTCTCCTCCTACAGTTTTTTACCGATTTCATTGAAACTTAATCGGCTTTGTAATCATGATATGTAGTTGTGTGTAAAGAGTTGGTTGATGAAATGGAGACTAATCTCTGGTTACTTGTATTCCTCAAACTGTAAGAAAATTAAACATTGACTTTGTATTAATAGTGAAAGGTGAGGTGTATAGCATGCAAGCTAACAACTCTTAAAGTGATGCAAATCTTATTTCAATGCAAGATAGTATATAGCACTATATATTTTATTATACCGAGTGTCATGTTTAGGTGTTTCACCACTTCACCATTTTTAACAAACGCATCGCCAGTAGTCGACAAACGTTTCAGAAAAGTTTTCACTGGGATGAACCAGGGGCGCATTCATTCGGCGCATGTAACAATTTTTGGATTAACACCCTGGCACTGGGACGAACCGTGCAAGCATACGTTTGGCGCATGTGATATTTTTTGGAATAACACCCTGTCTTCTTTATCTTTGTAAAACGAGCAAGTAACATTTAAAATGTTCACATCTTTCTCAACCAATCAGATTACGAGATTTTAACAGAAGGTATAATAATACATGATATTCAACAGGTGTATATATCGTTGGTACTCTTGTTTAATGAAGGCCCATAGCCCTTTGATCAATTTCATTTCATGATCATTCAGACTTGGTCGAATCACAGGTACTCACCTTGTCTGTCAACAAACTCAATATATAATCAATAATATATTAATTGAGTGTGTTGACATACGAGGCGAGTACCTGTGGTCAAAAGGTGTCGCTAATGGAAGCCTATAATTTGACACATTTGTTGTTTCCAAAACCATTACTATGAAGACAATAATATGACTCGTCAAAATGATATATTGTCTGATTTTGATAAAAATTGGTATAAATGATTTTGTCAGGAGAGACAATACAATGGAACAATTTTGAAATTAAGTTGTGCAAATGAGCAGTGGGGGGTCGCTGTTAATTATCTGACGAGAATCTTGGTTATTTATTCCAGAAGATTAGGCTTTTCTGAGATTTGAACTTGTTGACATGGTGGCAGTTGACATAGCGTATGACAATCATGAAATTGAAATGCCTGTTTTTTTCAGTTTATTCAAAACAAGTAAAAATGTGAATATCAGCACTGAATTGTTAAATGTACCAGGTACTTAAGTTTACAGTCCATATAACAACAACTTGGGTGATACATAATCATGTTGCCCTGATAATGCTTAAATGAATTCTTTATTAATAAGGATCAGAGTGAGGATGACTTTGTTGTTCCCCCATTAAGAAGACTGCGTCGTAGAGTAGGAACACGCAGGGCAGCTATTAGATGTCGTAATACTGTTGCTGAGTATGCAGCAGCTGTACATGTAAGCACTCTTTTGAGACTAAATTCTTTTCAGGCGAACAGTATTTCTTTTGTAGAGGATTCACAGTCTGTCTGTATTTTCTATGTAATATAAATTATAGTAAGTATGTATTGATAATTGCCTGGCAGATTTGACTATTTTATAAATTTCTTTGATCTCTCTTTAGCTGTTGCATCTTATTATATATTTATGTATAATGACTCCTTACTCTATCTAGTTGCTTTATTAAAGTTGCTCAAACTTTAAACTTGAAATGAAAACATGAGAATTGATAAGTTGACTTCTGTAAACATATTCATTTTGGCACACTCAAATTTCAGAGCCAAACTAAATTTAAACAGATTAATGCAATCATAAAAGCAATGTAAATAAAGTTCTGCTTCAAGATTGGTATAGCTTCTGAATATGGCTTCCTATGAATTAATCTCAATTTCTTTATCTTTCATATGAAAGCGAAGAATTCCTGAAAACAGTAGTTCTACACAGAATTTGATGTAAGTAAGCTATAGTAGTAACAATTAATCATAGATTAGCTTTTGCCAAGTTGTCTTCACTCCACTACCTGGTAATGTATGAAAAATGTAGTCAGAAGCAGAAGAAATCAAAGACTATTTGATACATCCCTAAAACATTTGCTTTGATGAGTTAATAATGGTATTAAAAAAAATAGTTTATCACATAATCGGCCTGTTATCCTGTGAATTTGTCAGTGTAATATGTTTGCATATTTCACTAGTGTAATATACCCTGGAGTGTTTTTCATTGGCTGTGTCAGTCAGAAATTGATTGTCACATTATAATATGGACAATGACGTGACATCATGAATTGTTAATGGCACAACAAAATGCCTCTCCTGTTTGATTATGCCCTTCACACTTTGACTATAAAACCTGCCGGAATGGACGTTTTCTGAGTTATGTGATAAAAAGTATCTTAAATTCGTTTTCATTTCATATGAGATTTTATGAAACTTGTCTCGAAATTTTAATTTTTGCTTGCCAAGGCTTGCAAAAATTAAAACTTCTAAGACTCGTTTCATAAAATCTCAATTGAAGTGAAAACTCATTTTAGATCCTTTATTTATTTATAAGCAATTTTTAATAATATATTAGGTGATCTGATTGATTTGGTCTGGATGCCTAAAGCCATTGTGTTTTGTCTTTTCAATTTTTAAACTTCTTCTCAATTCAAACAGTACCATATAATAAGGCACCTTTTCACCGGCACACAACATGCATAGAACCAGTAGATATATATGTTACTGTAATAGCCCTGAGATGATCCTGATAAAGTTTCATCATATTTTGGGTCAGTCTGAAATTCAAGATGCCCATTACTCATTATATTGAAAAAAACCCACTTATTCCACTGGTTTTATTGACCTCAAACTGGGTAGGGATGTTGAGGAAAGAATGCTGATAAATTGTCTTTTTAGCTTCAATAGTCAGAAGTGGCCCTTATAAACACGATTAAACAATCAAGGTTTCTATAGAAACATGGGCCTTTTGTCAATGATACACTGGAATTTTAAAATGTATTTGTTGTTTCAGTTCCACAAGTAATGAATATATAGAGGTCCTCGACAGCGAAGATGAGGAATTGCAGCAGGTCTTAGATGCCAGTTCAATGGAGATAATTAATCAGTAATTATTTGTCTATAAAATTATATATAAATTTCAGGATCAAAACCACCATTCCTAAATCCTATGGCATAACTTATTAGAAATATTGGAAATCTCAGAGACTGATCTTGGTATCCACCATCTTATGAGCTTTAATGGTTCTATGTAATTTGCATGGTCTTTTCTCTACTTTTCTTTTTCTGAAAAATCTGCTGTTAAGGGGAAAATATGACTGTTATGGTATATAGTGATAGCTTGACAGCCGATAGGGGTTGTGAATGGTAAAATATGTATTTGATTTGACACATGTTCAACAATTAGGTAAGATTAATAACTACCATATACTAAACCAGTAAAACAGTACTTAGTCTACAATATGAGTGATTGATTGTCAGTTAACATTATCACTGAGGTTTCTGGCGTGTTTAAAGCTGTGCGGTATTCATGTTGTTTGTGACATAATTTTCGCTTATGTCTGACACTCTATTTCGCGATTTTAATGTTTACGTTTTCAATTTGTAGTGAATGTAGCAAAAATTACATGCACATGAAATAAACCTGTTATATGGTATCTCATGAAATCCTTTTACTGATTTTGTTCATTTTCACATCATGGTATCATAATGTCAGGTTGATTTTAATTTTTTATTCAGATAAACAATTACAATTAATAGCATTATACAATTATTTGCTATTTTGTTTTATTGAAGCTTCATGTAGAATTAATATTGCACACCACATTGTACTGTGTGTGATATAATGCCAATGTTTTTACTTTTCAGACCTCTGACTCCAGAAACTGGTAAATCTTTTTCTGACCTACTGTTAGAGTATCAAGGAAAAGTGAATCTGTTTGACACACAGGAAATCATCATTTCTAGGAGAAACGTTCTCAAAAGCTGCTTTAGGGCTCTGAGGCGACCCTCGTTTGATCTGAATTGTAAACTATATGTGAAATTCAGCGGGGAAATGGGGATGGACCATGGTGGGCCCAGGAGAGAGTTGTTTAGGTACATGTAATTCATTATGAACAAATCCACCATGCACATCTATAAATTTAGTTCATATATAAAATAAGTTGAAATAAATGGTAAGATTTCTTTACCAGTGTGCATATTGGAAAATAAGGTTTTATGACTATCATCCAATAAAAAATTGGAGACTTGCTTAAAGGTTGACAAACTGTAATGGCCCATGCATCTACATGATACACATCCAAAAATATGCATTGTCCATGCTAAAGCATAATTTTATTGGCAAGTAATATGTTTGTAAACTGAACAATTTTCAATGAAGTTAAGCAGCAATTTAAAAGAAATAAGTTTTATTGAATTGCACAGATTGGCTGTGAATGAGCTTATGGCCTCCAGTCTCTTTGAAGGACCGGCCAATGGGAAAACCTTCGCACATAACATCCACAACTTGGATACTAAAGAATACCAATTGGCTGGCCGCCTGGTTGGTTTGAGTTTGGCCCAAGATGGTCCTGGTATCAGTTTAAATCCTGATTTATACCAGCTTATGACACGAGGACCTGATGTCAACGTTAACACAGCATTTGATCTGGATCTTATTCCAGATGAGGATGCTAGAAATAAACTAAAACAGGTACATCAATTCATTGAGTATCATATTAGAGTGGCTATTGGAACCTCAATTATTAATTCAAACATAGTAATCTTCATCTATTAAAAAAAATATCTACCCTGGTATCTAAAAGTATATTGCAAACTTTTTTATATGCCCATCAAAATATGATTGGAGGGTATATATGGCATTGTCTGTATGTCATAACTATAATTCTGTTTCATCAATATTCCTTAACTTTAAATTTTCCACAGGAATGCATTATTGGATTTAAGGAAAAAATATTGGTAAAGGAACTTTTTGTAAATTCTGTTATGCTTTCCTATGGGCAATTTTAAGTTAAGGAATATTGATGAAGCTCAGGGGTCAGAGATCTCCCCTTTAAACTTTTACCAATATCTTTGAAACTTGGTAGGGTTTGTAACCATTCGATTATGGTGGACAAAAAAACAAAAGCAAAAAGAAAATACCAATATGTAAATAGAATAATAATTCAAGGTCAAAATTGATTAAACAATGGAAAAATATTAACAAAAGAGAGATTTACACATAGAAACACAATAAGAATATGACGAGCTGTCTTTTACTTTGTTGTTGACACCTGCTATGTACATCTAGGTAAATCTTGTTTAATACAGCTATTAAAGTAATGTCATGTTCTCAGATGAGAATATGATTAACAACAACAAAAACCATGCAGCAGACATACCAAAGCATTAACCCCATCTATCTTCATATTGAGCAAGGAAAAACAACATTTCAAAATGAGATCTTGGTGACAGCCATAACACGTTTCCCACAGTCTACATCAACCTGCATTTCTCATGTGTTGTAAGTTTATCTTTTAGCTGTTGACATCTTACACAGACATAGTGTCATTGGGAACTATATTGAATGAAGAATGACATGTGAACATTGTAGGTTGGGAAAGCAGGAATGTTACTGCATCTATAAAAGAAAAATCACAAGTCTAAAGTAACAAGACATTAATTCAGAGAGTTACATTCCCAAACCTAATGTGAATAATATGCAAAGAATGCACAGATCATGAATTTGTGTTGGAACTAATTCTACACACTGATTGTTTGAATGACCCACAGCACTCAAATTGCGGTTGGTGGTATCAATGTGAATGAATTCAAGAACATTAATGATCTTAGTAAGCACTATCAGAAGTTCAATGCAAGTAAACCCTAAGTAAGAAGTTCAAGTGACAAGAAGAGCAGCAAATCAGGCCCAGACAAACTATTTCTTTGATGTAGGTCAAAGGACAAAATGTAGGTCAGAGTGACCTACCTTTGGTACATGACACACCACCTCACCTAGGAAAACCCATGACCCAAGTATGAAGTTCCAGTGACAAGTAGTGTAGGAGATAGAGCCCGGACAAGATAATGTGCAGAAGGACTGAAGCTAGAGACGGAGGGATGGAAGGATTGACGCCCCCCACCGGAACTGGTGGGGGGGGACTAATAAAATAAATAAAAGTAAATATCTTATTATAGCTGAAGGAAGTTCGCAATGCTGACGAGATGGACACCTTTCTGGCAGCAAATGGTGAGTGGATGCTGGGGCAAGGTTTCACCAATACATGGAGGTTGAAGTTTACCGAGGTCAACAGAGCAGTGGCTACCCTCATAAAGCAACTAATTTTCTACAGGTAAAACTGTAAGCTGTATTAATGTTGCTAAATTTATGTTTCAATCTTAGACAGTTTCAGCTCAAAATGGTTGCAAATGTTTATTGATTTAATTACCTGCTTAAAAAAAGAACTTTGCAAAATGGCCTTGGTATCAAAAATGTACATTACATGTATTACAATCTGATGCCTTTAATTCTTAATATATACAATAATTAATATGAACCTTAGAAAATGTTGGAATATATGACTTGTTGTAGTGGTATAATTAGACGGATTGACTAAAATATATTGCAGTACTTTAATTAATCATTTAATCCTGTTTGAAACCAGTAGTGTTTGTATTAAGAGCTATATATCTGATGTAGACAGTTTTATTTGCTATATGACTGTATCTCTGTGATTTTGAATTCCAGTGCAGAGACTTAGAGGCTCTAGAATTGTTGCATATGATTGTGATACTTACCATATTTTACAGCATCTATTCTGCCTTCCTGTTGTTTAAGTAAAAAGTGAAAATGAAAATTGTTGTGTTGACACCTGCCTAACTACAGGATATATATACACTCACAACAAAAAATTGTACTATTTTAATATTAGCCATTATGTAATTCCCAGAACTTCAGCTGAGATAAATCAGTTCACCAGTGGTGTGAATGAAGTGTTTGGACTGTGGGATACAGTCAAAAAAGACCCTGCATGTTGGAGTGCAGTTTTCTGCACTCCTAATATTCTCTTGAGCAAAGAAAGCTTTATGGACCAATGCTCCATATCTTGGAGCTTGGCAGGGAGTAATCGTCGGCTGAAAGAAGAAGAAAGTATTTACTCTTGGGAGGTGTTCCTCCAAGACATCGGAGGTAATCATTTATGCTACATTTTAAAAGAAATTCTGTGTAAATCCTAACAAGATGTCTCACCAACAATTACACTGTTTTTAAGGAAGTATTTACCAATAATCAAAGTGTTCAATTTGTTTTCAAATGAAGATGAATGTCCTTTAAGTAAAGAGCAGTTTTATAAACTATTTACAACTGATTGATAGATCAAAGACCTGTTATATACCTGTCAATGTTATTCTCTATTGCTAAGAGGTGATATGTTAATTTGTTAACAAATGCCCCTTGGATTTAGAAAACATTCATATTTCCTAAAGTTACATCATGACTAGCTGATCAGTCTTTTAAGACCATCATCAGATGTTGGGCAGTTCACATTGCCTTTTGTCTGTGATCCAGGTCTTCGTCTGCCCGTTAGCAATTCTAGTTATCACTATTCTTCTTGAGAAGACCTTTCCCATTTGAGGTTCTGTTGCAAGAACAATACAATTTTAACCATGATCCAATCTGATAAACAACTTTGTAGCTATGTAAGAGACAACCATGTATAGTGATAACAATCCAAAACAGTTTGTTTTCAAGATTGTGTAACTTTTTATTCCGCTACATATTTCAGCTTATTATTTGAGGCAGATCATACTCATAAAAACATGAAATTAAATGACAGAAAACAACACCATTTAAACAGTTTTTTAGCCCACCATCATCAGATAATTTATACAAGGAAAGAAGAGAAAAATACAGAAAAGTTTAAACTTACATAGAACCAATATTAACAGCAATACAGTGGTGGGTGCTAAGATCTTTCTGGGATGCCTTGTATTGATGTATGGATGCTTTTATACATGTACATGGGGGTAATGGCCCTGTGGCCTTACTGAAGGCGGTTTGTCATGCGCCAAAAGTAGGTCACTTTCACCTTCATTTTAACTACCTCAAAGAAAAGAGTATGTATGGGCTCAATCTCCTACACACTGGTCACTGGAGCTTCATACTTAGGTCATGAGTGAACCTAAGTGAGACAGTGTTTCATACATTTTAACCTCATTCACATTTGTACTACCAAATGTAATTAAATAATGAAATGAATATTTTTTCACATTCGGTAGGGAACCTGTAAATCTCTAATTAGCTGCATTTTCTTGTTTTCAATATAGCCTGTTAGCATTTCAGTGCTCGATCAGTAAGATTTAACAATCAATGATAAAAAGATCATTTACAGTGGTATCCACAACAAAATGCTTACATTCCAGTTTAAAGAAAAATCTGAACCAAAGCCTTTGAGCTGTTCTACTTGAATTCTAGAGAGAAGAATATCCATCATACATACTTACATGTTTGACTCTATCGTAACTTTGTGTGATATTGCAACTGTTATTCTTTTAATTCCGTTACATATGAAGTTAATTCTGATGTTGTCATCAGATTGCATAATTATTATCTGTAATAACAAATCAATGTACATGTTTCAGAAAAAACTGTCCCCCTGACATTTGAAGAGCTGTTAGTTTTTTGCACTGGAGCCGACAAAATTCCTCCTGCTGGATTTCCCAGCAAAATCTCAATAATGTTTTATGAAGTTGACGCTGAGGAAACTCGCCTTCCCTCAGTATCAACATGTGCACTGCACCTAAATCTGCCACGTGGATCAACTCCTGAAAATTTGACTTCATTATTTCTTCGGGCTGTAAAGGAGTCTGAGGGCTTCGGTAAAATTTGATATTTAAAAACTGCCAGAGTCAATATGAACAATGATCATTCCTATGAAGGCTGCAATTTTATAATATGTGAGATGGTATCTATAGGAACATTTATCATTCCTGTGAAGGCTGCAATTTTATAATATGTGAGATGGTATCTATAGGAACAATGAACATTCCTGTGAAGGTTGCAATTTTATAATATGTGAGATGGTATCTATAGGAACAATGAACATTCCTGTGAAGGCTTCCATTTTTTAATATGTGAGATGGTATCTATAGGTAAATTTAACATTCCTGTTAAGGCTGCAATTTTATCATATGTGAGATGGTATCTATAGGAACAATGAACATTCCTGTGAAGGCTTCCATTTTTTAATATGTGAGATGGAATCTATAGGTAAATTTAACATTCCTGTTAAGGCTGCAATTTTATCATATGTGAGATGGTGTCTATAGGGACATTTATCATTCCTGTGAAGGCTTCAATTTTATAATATGTGAGATGGTATCTATAGGAACATTTAACATTCCTGTGACGGCTTCAATTTTATAATATGTGAGATGGTATCTATAGGAACAATGAACATTCCTGTTAAGGCTTCAATTTGTGTGTTAGTACCACTTTATTAATCAATTGAAATTGAACAGAATGATTGAATTAAAAATTATCTTATGAAATGGTTTTCAATACTATTCATAGTAAATTATCAAATATTCCCTCGGAAGTGTGTTTTAAAAAAGTGGAATATTAAATTGGGCTCCTTTCATCCATGTGTCCATCTGTCTGCAGAGATTTTATGGGCTGCTATTCGAACAAGTGTCCTAGTTGTGCCATTCACAATTTTTCATTGTTAAAGATACATGTAACTACAAAGTTCTTAGTTTGATATGAAATTCACATTTTAAGCCCACCATCATTGGGGCTATTCAAATGGCTCTTTGTCCGTGGTCCACGGTCTGTCCGTAAACAATTATTGTTATTGCTATTTCTTGAGTACTGGAAGGATTTCTCTCAAACTTTCTGTGTAGGTTCCCCTTGGTCCCTAGTTGTGACCATTTGATTTTGATTTTTTTTTTAGACAGGCCACCATCTTCCATTTTGACAGTGGAAGTTTATTATCAGAATTTCTTTTTAAGATCTTGCAGGGTATTTCTCAAACTTGATGTGTAAGCTATCTTTTTCAATGGTTAATTTTCAGAGTGAGATGATAAAAACATAACAAAAATGACCATTAGGCACCCACCTTGGGTATTAGTTGAAGTTTGTTATGGCTATATCTCAGAAATTTCCTGATTGATCTTTCTCAGAATGCTTGTGTAGGTCCCCCCTGTGTCAATAATGAATTAGATAAAGGTAAAGAAAATATCAGTCTTACATAGATCCAACAAGGATCAATCGATGGTTGGCACCAAGATCCCTTTGGGATCTCTTGTTTATATAGTTCCTAAATAATAATAAAGAAGTTAATAAAAGAATAACGAATTGGCTCATTGTGTTTTTTATTTTAATATTGATCAATTTATCAATTTAAGAAAAACTATAACATTGCTTTTTTTCACCAAAAAATTATGTCCCCTGATTAACAAGTCCTATATTTGCTGCTCATAGACCACTGATTGAATGACCTTGATATTCAACTTATAATCTTGACGGATGATCCTGTTACTTTTTCGTACTTCAATTGAAATATTTCTGATTCACTATGATATAATAAGATACTTGCAGTTAAGAAACATAAAGTTGCATGATCATGATATCTGACTTGTTATCTTTCATTTTGATCATTCTGGTTCCTAATATCAAAAGTAACTGTAAAAATATTCAATATTTGACCTTGTACTTTTCACTATTGACCTTGACTTTTGGGATTTTTTTTTAATTTAAATCCCATAAATATAACATCATATTGTTATAAGGACATAATATACAAGGTAACAGTTTGACCTCTGAACCCAATGACTGACTTTTTATCAGAGACTTCTTCATATGATTCTGACCAGCTTTGCTTCATAATATAACAAAATACTTTTCAGTAAAAAATAATTTAAAAAATGTGACCTTTTACCTTTGACCTTGTAACCTTGACCTTGAATAAATAGATCTAGACTTAATTTAATTTCATCAGTTATCTTTGCTTCATAATGTTTTAACAAAATATCAGGAAAAAAATGATCAAATGATATTTTTAGTGACAGTGACCTGTGCATTGAACAATTACAATATGTGGTGCTCAAATATGAAGTTTCAACAATTACATGTAGCTTGATGGTTCAAAAGCCTTAGGTTTGAAAAATCTAAATTTTTACACTTTTACACACTTTGATTGATATTTATCCATTATAACCAGGAGAAAAGGTAACTTGAATCAATTATTGGTCTTTAAAAATACTTTCACATCAAACCAGTTGAGGTGTAGTTTGTGTTGCCAACAGTAAGAAGATTAAAACAAGAACATGAAAACTGTTTCTGTATACATTTCATATGAAATATTTTGGCATATAGCTTCCGTCATATCACTGAATCAGGTCTGATGTCTTCATTGGTTACTGCATGAAGCTGCACATTCGAAAGTCTGCCAAGAATGTTTTTACACAGGATAAATTTTTGACGATAGTCATCTTCAGTATTTACAGCATCTTGTAATATTTGATTTTGATCTTCGCTGAACACACTTCCCGCCACTTCATATGATGAGACATCAATGTCCACACCTAACTCCTGTAGTGAGTCCTGGAGAGATACCTGTATTGGAGTTGGACAAAATATGTTCGAAATTGTTAATGAGGAAGAATTTAAATTAGTAAACACTCCATCAATCCAAGCCTGTTGTGGTGATTTGTTGTGCATTGTTCTCATTTTATGTTTATTCCACCCTTGCCTAAACTCCTCCAAGTGATCATTGATGATTGGGAGGAAACAGAATTGTAATGCATACATGTGGGTGGGACTGTTTATGTCCAGTTCCCCTTCATCCTCCATACTGTAGAACAGCTGATAGAACAAATCTATGACTTGTTCAAACACATCCCTCCAGAGGCGTTCTATTCTTTGGTTATGGACTGAGCGTCCAGTCAGGAAACTGTTTGCATACAATCCATTGACAATATTCATAAACATGCCAATGTCGATATGTTCACGTCCATGGTCACATCTTACTTTTCCAGGCACACCATATTGCTTGCAAGCAACAACAAACTTTTCCAGAACTGTCAATGACTTGTTATTGTTGCTACACGACAAGTATAACACCAGTCTTGAGAACCCGTCAATTCCACCGTGGGTGACAATACCCCATCTAAAAAAAAGGACACATTTGTATAATAAAGGAGAATCTTACATCTTTGACAGGTATCTAAAAACCACACAAAACTAATCAAACAAGATTTCCATTTCTTCTGCCAGGCATGAACATATTCTTTGTATTTAGTAACATCATTCTTACAATATTACTTCCAGTTCTTGTTGCCTTTTAGGCATTATCACTATTGAAAGTTTGAAACATATAAACAAAAGGCCCAGATTACATAGGCATCTAAGCAATAATGACAAAATATTATTAAATGATATTTCAAATAATACTATATCCCATTTTTAACATGTGATCTTGAAACAAGGTCAATGTCATTTTTCTCCAGAACCTATTGCCCAAATAAGGCACACCTACTGGTTCATCTACTTCTTATTTATCAACTCACAATTTGCATCTAGGAATGTGTTGCATAATAACAAAAAACTAAAAAGTATTCAGTTTTACCTTATCAGCTTCATATGGCCATCAATGTGCCATAGGGAATTTGGTCCACTGACACGATATTGTCTTCTAGCGATTGACCTACTCATCCTTTCCCCTGAAGGATCTATTCGACTTAAAGATTCACGCACCCTTCTACGTTGCACACATATGCCTTTTCCTTCAAGATATCCAGCCATCATCTGCAAGCGAAGTGTGTTCAAATCTATATTTTTATAATATCCAAACAAACATCAAAGTTAGGCACACAGGGCCTCTATCTCCTGCTATTGAGATCTTGCTTGTATGAATTCTGTGAGCTCCAAACTGGATCATGGTTTAATTTATTTTTAATAATTCATTTTTGTCAAAGAGTGATTATTCTATACCTAATGAATCTGTTGGTATAATTTAAACTAGAACTTATGTAAGCATCTTTGCCATTGACTGTTACTAGGTACTACTTAAAAGAGTCTATGCAATAAGTAAAATGCGTAGACTACTACAATTCACCTAGTAACAGTGATCATTCAGGTTTCCATGAAAAGGTTATTTAGACCTCTGAATTGCTAGATGTCACGGATCTTCAAAAGGCCCAGGCATCCGTAAGCTGAATACATGTTTGTCTTTTGATTATATTGTTTACCAATCAGTTTCAATTAGATGGTCCCTGGGAATCGAACCCAGTGATCACTAGATGTGAATTGTAATGATCAGTACCAAATAAACCATGGTTATCAAAATGAAAAGGAAGGTAAACAAAATAAACTGAAAGAACAAAAAATATGTATCCAAACTAAAGGGGAAAAAGAGTGGTCAAACTTGCAAAATCTGAAAAAAATAATATACAAAAGGCCCACAGGGCCTGCATCGCTCACCTGGATATTTTAGGTAATGGCAAAATAGTGAAAATACTCATTTAAGGTGGCTCCACACTTTCGCAATTAACCAGCAAAATTCGTTGAAACTTTCATATAATGGTTATGCAACTATGCAGAGTTGATTTTATGAAAATCTAAACATTCTGATAGTTAGGGGACTTTGTTGGAAAAAATACCAAAAAATATTTTTTCTTAGTGGTTTCGTCAATAATGTTCCACACCAAATTGGATTAAAATCCAAGCAGTTGCTATTTAAAGTAAATGTTAACAGACAACGACAGCTGTGCCATAGTGTGATCTCACTGGTCCTTTGGACCAATTAATTGAAGTAATGAAATCAAATAAAAAGGAAACAAGGCCATGTAAAATGCACCGATTCCCATGGGGTCTAACATTGACTGATACACTATAAACGATGGCAATTAAAGTGTGCTAGAAACTAGAAGGTGAACCTTCAACCCTGAATTAGACATATTGGTATATATATTATATAGAATTGGAAAACTTGATATTACTCACGATAAAAAACACATATATAAATCAAAATGCCTTGAAATAGAACTCAATCTGAATGGTCTAAAAAATTCATATCAAATTTGAATTAAAAGCTGCTCACAAAATTCTAATATCTAAAAGCAACATGAAAAAATAAATACAGGTAAACACACAAATATATCACTGGTTGCAAATTAAGAAATTAAAAGATACTAAATTTAGCATCTTTCTGACCTAGGTTTCCTTTGTCGGTGCTTTGTCCTTCATGTCTTGTCCATTGTCTTTTGTGTGCATTTGATTTTTGTCTGTATACCTAAAGTCACGATTACCATTTATTTATTAATCATTTATTTATATGTTATTAATTTGTGTGGGTGTGTAACTGTACGTGAATGTGTGTCTGTGTTTGTTTGTGTGTGTATTCTTTTTTGTCTCTTTATATAGGTACAAGCTTGATAAGTATTTAAACATATTGAATTAAAAAAAAACTATATAGCAACAACTCTTAAGCTTTAGGAGCTTTAATGACAACCATGTACCATATGTGTTGTATCATGTCATGTAAAAAACTTGAAAATGAATAAAAAAAAATACAATTTTTTTTTATTACATTTTTGCCAGTGAAATATTGGATTCTATCAACTTGATAAAACTGATATCTTTCACACTCTAACAACTATCAAAAGTGATATTTTCAGTGTGAAACGGTATCTTCTATTTGCTGCATTCAAAGGCAACAATATTTTGTTCAGATTCAAATGAAGCGACGGTAGAATAAGTGGTTGTTATATAATTATGGTAAATGTTTTGTACACACACTTCATTATTTGCGCAGTCGCACTCGTGATATATATTTGTTATTACTGAAGACACCATTGAATATCCTCCATATATTATATATATAATATTTATATGATTATAATTCCAGCCCTTTTTAATACATTTTAAAACTTGTCTCTATGCTATATAAAAATATTGATACCCAGGTAGTATGGTCCTTAATGATCTTATCTAAAACTTTCAAGTGTCCCGTAATTTTGTGGGGGTATTTTTCATACTTGTGATCCAGCATTGGGATGGCGTTTATGGATCTTTGAAACTTCAGCATCAATTTCTGTATTCTCGATATTGGCATATCGTCTGGACTGGTAAATTCCCTCTGAATGAAGACGCTTATAAATCAAAGACTTTGAACATTCAAAGAGGGATGCCATTTTTGATGCTGTGTATCCAAGGTCATGAAACATGACTAGCTGCTCTCTCGTAATAGAAAGCTTTGGTCTTCCTGGCAAACCTTTTTCAAAGAGAAATAACATACAAATATTTCATAAGTATTTTTAGTTATATTTGTAAGAAAAGAAACTTGTACTTAGATAGTTACATTAGTCTATTAACTACCATAAACAGCTTCAAACTTCCACAACAACAACAAAGAATACCGACATAATGACTAAACCATCAGTCAAAAACAAAATCAATAAAAACAAGGGCAAAATATAAAAAATATATATCGATTTGCATGGATACTCCTGAAAAAGTAGAATGAGAATAAGAACAGATGCCCTGGAGAGAGTAAGCGTCTTCTGCTTCATCGACGACCCCCGCCATACAAATGTACCAATCTAGCTAGTTCAGTAAAATTCAGGTTAAGTCAAAATCTGAAAATGAGAGTTAGGGTGGTGACAACGGAACTACTCAGCATATCAACCATCAAACACGTCAGATTTCATATCGCATCAGAAAGTTGTCATAATAAAACCAAAAGTGTTATTTCCCTATATAAACTACATGTATAGTAAACTTTACCCCCTCCCCAATGGAGAATGGATTGTTAGGGGGTCCCGAAATTTACAATTTAAGGAAAGCCCCTGATGATCGTTCTTTCCATGCAGAAAAAATGACTATAGTACCTCTTAGTCTTGAGAAGGAGATTTTTGAAATATTGGTTAATTTTCCCTTTGGGGCCCTGGCCCCAGGGGTTGGGGTAGGAATCCCAAGTTTACAATTTTGTAGCCTCTTCTACCAGGGATGATTCTGACAAAGTTTGAAAAAAATGCATCCACTGGTTCTTGAGAAGAAGTTGAAAATGTAAAAAGTTTACTCACGACGTATGACGACGGACAGAAAGCGATTAGAATAGGTCACTTGAGCAACGCTCAGGTGACCTAAAAACTCAATATTCTTCTTTATTAAAAAATGCCACCACCTGTTTATTGTACCCTTGTTGCCAAATGCATTTCCATTATACATCACAATTATTTTTAATGTCTTACCTTGTCCTGGCGAGAATCGAACCCACAACGTTTGTACTAACCATAGCTTTAAGAGTTCAAGAGCTTATTATTTAATCAACAGCCATTAAACCCTGGTTACATTTGCACAATTCAGGACAAAATTTCCTATACAAATTTACTATTGGTATGTTTTATATTGGTCGTACAAATGTAGACGGCGATCAACCCCAAGAAAATAAGTTTTAGTGGTTATGCAATGAATAAGGGGAATAATAAAAAAAAACAATTGTATGAAGCGGGGGGGGGGTTCAAAAGGAACTCTTACCCACGGGAGTAACCACGTTTATCACATAATTTGCCTGTTATCTAGTGAATTGGCCCTTGTAATATGTTTGCATATGTCACATACTCCCTAGTGTAATACATGTATATATATATATATACCCTTGAGCTTTTATTATTGGTTGCGCTGATCAGTACAGGTCAGTGACAAAGTGCTTTAAAAATAACCTGACAAAATGGCATTCTCTCATTGACAGGCTGAGCTATTTATATGATAATGTACATTTGTAAAGACACATTTCAAAAATATGTTGCCCAATTTGTTTACAATTCTATAAACCATGCACTGCACACTGTAATCCAATTGATAGCCACAGTAAAAGCATGCACAAGTAAGTTAATCTATTTTTAGAATGTCTTCACCGGTGTTTATCTGACAAAAGGTTTCATTGTTTTCAATGGCAATATTGAATAGTGGTGATATGTTTTATCAATTTGTGTAAAAAGTAGACAACATTTTGATGTTTTCATTTCCAAATGTAATTTATCAGATGAATATTTCAGCATGTAAATGATAAAATGCCATATTGTCCGGTTATATGTTAAAATGCACTTTATCACTTACCTTAATGTGACCGAGTTCAGAGGATTTTTCTCCTCTGTAATGGGAGGACGTGTTGGGAGTTCCAACGTATCCTCGCAAATCCAAGGAAGATTTTATACTTTCATCGTCATCGTGTCAAAATGTGTGAAAAGATAATTTATCACACTCGTCGATACATTCGTCACACAGGCTTGTCATACATAAGCCTACTTATATTTTCATAATGAAAAATGACATGAGCTTATGAACATGGCATTTAAAAATCTGGAACNCTTTCGATTTAATGCTTTACCGAGCGCTGTGGAGGAGGGTTTATTATCTCAAATTCAAATCTCGTTCTTTATAAGATATCTTATAACCGAATTATATAAGATATCTCATTTAATTTTGTTTATAAGATATCTTATATATTATATAAGATATCTTATAAAAGATATAAGATATCTCATTTAATTTTCTTTATAAGATATCTTATATCTTTTATGAGATATCTTATATAATATATAAGATATCTTATATCTTTTATGAGATATCTTATAAAGAAAGGTATATAAGATATCTTATAAAATATATAAGATATCTCATTTATTATATAAGATATCTTATAAAGTATATAAGATATCTCATAAAGTATATAAGATATCTTATATAATTAAATGAGATATCTTATATAATTTGGTTAAGTACTGGATCAACATTGCTCCATGAATAAATGACAACTTGGCTTGCCATAGGCTATGGTAGTCATAATTTTCCTGTGAAAGGTTGTGGATTTGAGTTCCCAGTCGAGGCTGGCTATGATGTTTTTCTGAAACAGACCTAGTATTTTGGTCGAAATTCGAACTATAGTGTTATTTCAATTTTAAACGGAACTAGTGTCTGGTTCCCAGTTCCGTTTATGTTAAACGGAACTAGGGTCTGGTTCCTAGTTCCGTTAATGTTAAACGGAACTAGAGTCTGGTTCCTAGTTCCGTTTACCTTAAACGGAACTAGGGTCTGGTTCCTAGTTCCGTTTATCTTAAACGTTACTAGGAACTAGGAACCAACTTCAGGCTCCCCATGGGCAAACTATTTCATGAAGCTAAGGACACCCGAATCAGGGGGCACTCGAAGAAACTATTCAAAAGACCACGTAGACTGAACAAATATGGTGATTTCTACAGCAACAGAGTGATAAATCTGTGGAACTCTCTAACAGAGGACGTAGTAATCTCTTCAACGCTCAACACCTTCAAGTCAAGGCTCAACAGCCACTGGAAACATCACCCGACAAAATTCAAGCCATTCTTTTACTAGTTACATATATATGCAAGTCCAATCAGTCAAAAGTGAACAATGGAACTAATTGACTGTTTGGCACTTACCATGCTTTTAAAAACCACGTTTTTAACCATCAAATTGTAAAGGAGAGGAACTAACAGTGGGAGATGATTACTCCAACCCTACCAGATCAGGAAATGAACTTGTAAATGTAAATATCTAGAAACCGGAAATCAAATTAGTACGAGAGTGTACAGCATACATTACAAGAAATTAACTCTATACACGTCAGAATAATTCGGACTATATAGCTACATGTAGCTTACAAGGATGTCATCTGAGCGAAACTGTCCCTAGAAAAGGTTTGTCCGGATAACTCCTTCGAAAGTAATGGATCAATCTCAACGAAACTTTCCAGTGATAACTACCACCTGAAGTTGTGCATCCAAGTAATCTTTTTTCATTCTGTACCTTTTTTTTTTACAAAGTTATGGCCCTTTGTTTAAAACTCCTCATCCGAATAACTCTTCCAAAACTACATGGCCAATTTCAATGAAAATTTTCAGATATGATAACTACCACCTGATGTTGTGCATCCAGGTATTATTTTTTTATTCTGACTCTTTTTTGACGAAGTTATGGTCCTTTGTTGAACAAATCCTGAAACTTTTTGTCCTGACAACTTCTTTTAAATTTATGGATCGATTTCAACGAAACTTTCCAGATATGATAACTACCACCTGAAGTTGTGCATCCGGGTGTTCTTATTCATTCTGACCTTTCGTTACAAAGTTATGGCCCTTTGTTGAAAATACTTAGCTGATGTTATTTGTTTTTAAAATGCTCACCACTTTTAAATAAAAGATATCTTATCTTGTCTTGACGTCACAACTTTACTGCTCCAGTGCTGTTTCGGCCACATTGATTTAAAAATTCTGTACTATTTACAATAATTTACAGTCATACTAAGGTGTTTATATAGCTTTCTCATCCTACACAGGAGACTTAGCAGCAACTAACCCATAGATAGTGTATATTTTTTTTATAGTATTAATTAATTCTGGTTAAAAAGGCAGAAAGCTAAGCGAGGGCTAGGAGAAAGAGGGTAAATATTCCTGGGGCGGGTTATCCAAAGTTCGCACAGCCGAATCCTACAAAGCGTCTGTTCCATACACATGTACAGCTACCCAGTGCGTTTTCTTCTGATGTTGAGCCCGAGTCAATGAAGTTCTTCGTGATAAGTTTTTATACGCCCGTCGAAGACGGGGACGTATTATGTTATCACGTGAGCGGGCGGGCGGGCGGGCGGGC